AAAAACATGTGGTAGTTAGGAGTAACTTTAAGTGCTGGTGTTAAGACACCAGGTTCTTGATATACGTAGGTGTATATGTATATCGGTCAGGTGGTCAAAGAGATGTGTCATCGTGATTATTTTTGGTACGTGTGACGACCGGTAACTTAATAAAGGTAGCTAGTAGCAACCAAACTACCTACTACTACATAATGTAAGCAGATTTGTAAATAGGTACTTATTTATGTACCTGCAAAACAATATAAGCTTATTATGGCTTAGCAACACTTGCCTATCAGGCACTTACGAAATATTCTGAGGCCAAAGGTACTTTTTTTACCACGTACCAAAATGTCGCAAGTTCGTAATTCCACAAAAAAGTCAGTCAACTGTCAAGTAATTCTTATAGTTAATTGATAAATTACATTATGATGAGTTTTTACCCAAAGGCTTGCTGGGTTGTGGTTCTCACTATTATGTAACGATCGAAGAAAAGACAGATTACTTGAGTGACAAATTATATTATAAATAATCGGTTGCCAAAGAAGAGAAAAAAAAAAAAAAATAGTTAGATGATGATAGTGGATGCGGAAAAATGGAAGAGACAATGTTTGTGTAAACCTTTTGTAACCACTTGAGACAATATCTAGAGCTGTTGGAAAGAAGTCCTTAATAGTTCTTAAAAACCTAATTTATGTAATCCGAAAAGCGTGAATCAGGTCCACAGAGTTTTCCCTTTTTTAGGCAAAAACTTCAACATTTTCAGAGAATAAGGTGCCACAGCCAAGCGACAGCTTTATTTCTAAGTATTACTTTACCACGACTATGAGTTCAATAAGCTGGAATAGCATAATATAATGAGATGAAAATCATTTTTTAATAAACATATCTCTCAAAAGAAAGTTAACAAAAACTGTTTTTCCGTAAAATGATATCTAAGCCTTATATATCGTCTAACTACATTTTTGCCGGTGTGTAAATTGTGTCACATGATAATAATATTGACATGAATTTATTTATGAACTAGGTATACATAGACAAGGCCATGTGCGGTATCTTGCTTAACGACATCTATAGGACTTTAACCTATTATGACTACTATATGTTTTTCTTTAGTTTTTGGTAATACGTTTAAACGTGGAAAAAGAAAAAAACGAACAAAAAGGCCTAATTGACGTCATATAATATTAGTTGGCTCGACCGGGTTGATACCACAGCCTCACAGAAAACCGACGTTAGCACCGCTTGCGATGTGATTCGTCGTGTGAGTGAGGTTACCGGAAGCCCAATTACCCCCTACCCCTTTGCCAATCTCACCAATCCCTGAATTCCCAACAATCCTCAAACTCCTAATCCCCAAAAGGCCCGTAACGCACTTGTAACGCCTCTGGTACTCCACGTGTCCATGGGCGACGCCGATTGCTTACCATCAGGTGATCCGTCAGCTCGTTTACCGGTTTATGCCATAAAAAACACACAGATACTCTCTACTTCTTCTTCTTCTTCTTTCTAGTCGTATCTATTATTCTTGACAGCGTAGTCGTGGTTAATATGATAAATCTGAATCAGTTGCAGTAACCCGGATGTTCCGCCATCTCTCTTTACTAGTCGATATTTTAGTGCACTCATGCAAAGGCATGCCCAAAGTGCTAGTCTTCACTTGATCAGCCCATCGCATCGGCGATCTTCCGCGCGTCCGTGAGCCATCCATTCTACCCTAGACGACGAGATGCTCGAGTCGTTTTCGCGTCTTGAGACGTGTCCGAATAGTTTTAAGTAACTATGTGACATTGTACTAGGATCGATAGACGTTGCTTAATTCCAAGTTCTTACAGTATGGAGACATTGGTGCGTTTGGTACATGAATCTCTCTAATCATTCGTCTCCAACAACATATTTCTAAGTCTTATTAATTTCCACTTCCTTTAACGTCTAGGTCTCTGCAGCATACAAAATATGGTAAATATGAGTGAACGTATAAGCCGAATTTTAGTAATGCTTCAATACTTTCGGATTATTGATACCTACTTTAAATTTGTATTACTTTATTTTAAACATACCATCAAAAATACAATACAATTGACTGCACGGTTGGTGCGGTGGCTGGGCAACCGGCTGCCGTGCAACGTGTCGCGGATTCTCTTCCCGCACGGGACAACACTTTGTGTGATCCACAAATTGTTGTTTCGGGTCTGGGTGTCATGTGTATGTGAACTTGTATGTTTGTAAACGCACCCACGTCACAGGAGAAAATCCTAGTGTGGGGCAACGTTTAAAAAAAATGATCTTAAGCTAGGAACCTTAAAACGTTAGATCTATGGGAGAATAAAATTGTAAATTTATGTATTTATCTTTGGTCGGCAATAAAACCTGAAGTATTGAATATCCTCGTCCACTCAACCGCAAATAGATACTTAGATGACTGTCGCGGAGAACCTAACGGGTAACCGGGGCTCCGGCTCGACGTACAGGAGAAGGAACGGGGTGGTTTTTAGTCAGTAAGAGTCTGACACTCCCTTCCGCCTCACCCAGGCGGGAGCTGTCATTCGATGATTTTCCACCCTTAAAAAAAATACTTAGATGACTAGTTATGTTAAATCTAGTGCTGATTGATGACTAGTATGACTAGTTATGTTAAGGTTATTGAGCGTTAACGTTTGTCTAGCTTCGAGCTCAGAAACTATAGTAACTACTCAGTAAAAATAGTTTTAGTGTGTAACTGCGTTTTAAAAAAACAAGTGCTTAATTTAATGACTATTGACCTATATAGTCACTGTTTAATCAACAAATTTTATATGCCTATGCATAATAATTATGCATTACGCGTCTACGCATCTCTCAGTGGGTATACTTTTATTACATTCTAATCACAAAGGTTGAGTGTGCTCTGGGCATTTTGTTAGCACAGCAGATAACAAGCTGATAGGCCCTCAAATAGATCAGATAAGATTACTTATGATAACACCATGCTATAATGACTCTGCAGACCTAAAATAATATTAGTATACGTGTCATACAATCTTACCTATTTACACAGAGGTTTTGATGACTATTTATTTACGCTATGATCGTGTTCAAGCAGGTTTTGTTTATTTAGATACAGACATAATCATACCATAATTAAAGTTTTAAAACCATCTTACACTACAAGAACAATGCAAACGGCATTCTAGAGGTGTCGTCGTTAACAATGAGAAAGAGAGCAGTCATGAATATAAAAGTAAAGATATCTAACTTTTTCCCAAGTAGTTTTAAAATTGCCGCTCTAATTTAACACAATGTATTTTAGGCAACAGTAAACTCTGCCTATATTCTCGTTTTGCTAAAAATGATGACTAAACGTACGAGTAAACTTCAATAAGTTTTACCAAACCTACTATTCGGCAAAAATTACCATCTAAAGATTCGAGACTTTAATTAAGTTAACCAGATTTTTTTGTATGTCTGACTAGCAGTTCTGTTGATCCTATTTGTGTCTATTGATTGATTAATGCACATATAATATTATTCTTAATATACGGTTATTATTGCAATAATTATTTTGTCTCGAATATAGCAAAACTTAAATTAAAAATAAAATTATGTATTTTGATGTGGGTATCTTTTAGGAGTTTATGTTCCAGTTTTACAATACTAGTATTCTCGTTACAGATAATGGGGCAAGAGACATTGACAGCGTCGCTGACAAGTAACGTCAGTGACAGTGACGTTCAGGACTAGTGCTGCCAACTGCTACGTAATAACTATTTCAAAAATTCAAACACTTGCCATTTATGTGGACCATTTTGTCTATATTACACTCGAATGTTGAGTGAGAAAAAGTCTTCTGCAGAGTTAACAAAATTAAAACGAAACAACGGAATAACCTTACAACGAGCTCCATCAAGGAATCTGAACTCCATCCCTTATCGCAGCAGGCAGTCCTTATACAGCATCAATAAAAAAAAACTTATATTGGTTTTAATCGCATTCACGCTATGATCCAAAAATATAATATCGATATGTCTGATTATGATTACAAAAAAAAAGTTGAGATACATAAGTGTTAATCAATTTGGGTAATTATTCAATGAAATTTGCCTCTTTGGCCGAGTGGTCACAAGTGCGACTGCTGAGCAAGGGGTCTCGGGTTCAATTCCCGGGTCGGTCAAAGTATTATTGGGTTTAAAAAAAATCTTAGTAATAGCACGGTGTCTGGAATTGTGCCTGATATATGGCAACAGCCTCACCCCCCTATTACACAAGACTTATAGAGCGTATATTATTATAGTGAAAAGTAGGTGTTGCAATATACAGTAGCATTAAGTCACAGTAGAAATATAATTAATTAAGTGCTCTCTCTCTCTCTCTCTCTCTCTCTCTCTCTATCTCTCTCTCTCTCTCTCTCTCTCTCTCTCTAATGTGCAACTCTGCCTACCCCTTTGGATATAAAAGGCGTGAGTTATGTTCATAAAATCTTATGTAGTCAACATGAGTTCAATAATCAAGATTAATTGATTAAAAGATAAAGCTCATTGTTTACTAAAAGATAATTATAAAAAATTTGTAATAAAAATATTTTTATGATCAAAATATGCATATTATACAAAATTCCGAAGACGGTTGACTTATTAAACATGCTACTAAATAAACAAGGTAATTTCACATATTGTGGGTGTTTGGCATATGAACCGATACATTTTTTTTTGGATATTCGTCCTAAATGTCACGATTGGTCACATTATAAGATTTTTTTATATTGTACCTATTATAATAATTATAAAAGTAATTTCGGAAAATCTATCTACCGTAGTTTTAGACGAATTCTACCATCCGCTAGATTTCAAACTTGACAACACTGTTCATGACGCTAAAAAAGGTCATTAGCTACCTTTTACCCGAAAACCCTTCGTCCTAAATGTCACGGTTGGTCACATAATAAAATCTTTTCAAATTGTACCTATTATAATATAAAAGTAATTTCGGAAAATCTACCGTAGTTTTAGACGAATTCTATCATCCGCTAGATTTCAAACTTGGCAACACAGTTCAGTTCATGACGTTAAAAAAGGTTTTATTTTGGAGCTCTAAGCTCATTCTTTGATGGGATCTTTGGCTAGCAAAAGTAGTAGAATGACTGTTTCCAAAATGGCGAATGCTCAAGAAATCAGGGAATTTATCAAACAAGCTATTACTGAGGAAAAAGTAGTTATATTTTCGAAAACCTACTGCCCTTATTGTAAACTGGCTAAGGACGTGAGTAATATTTTTAACATTTTGATTTTCTTGGAAACTTAGTACCTCAGCATTAATTTCTCTTTAATTTTACGATAATTAGCGTTATGCAATGAAGACTTAAAGAGTTCTTTCTAATCTTTCAGTACAAAGTCTACCTTCGGTGTTATATCTAATGTCCACTTGTTATCTCAATTTTTATTGACATTAGACATTAGATTGTATTTGAACCACCAGAGCGTCCGCTGTTGTTTGGCCACATTTTGTTTATTATGAGCGTCGTTGCCCTCGAAATGAACTATGGGATGCATTTTCTCGTTTTCGGAAACCATAGGAAAATTCTAATAGTTCGGGCTGAAATGGTGTGTGAGAGCGACACAGCGTCATCCATAACTCTACTCTCAATTTTTTCTCGAAGTACAAAAAAAACTTTAAGTACGGTACAATTATTTTTTGTGCAGTTAGTAATGTTTACCTTTTTATTTTGGACACAAAGTTTGTGTTAACAGATTCTAAAGGTTCTAATTGGATCTAGTTACTAGATGTGTAACTAATGAACAAATGTCCCATTTTGAGTAGAAAAATGATCATGTTAAGCATGAAATAAGTGGTTTAACATATTAGCTCTGACTATTGTTTCCAGGTATTTAACAAAGTGAAGCAACCATTCAAGGTGTATGAGTTGGATGAGCGTGAAGATGAAAGTGATTTCCAGGACAACCTGGCTATACTGAATGGTTTCAGATCTGTAAGTTCTTTCATTTGTATTACTCATTAATTTGTTACTCATCAATACTTATTTAGTAGGTACTGTTTCAAATGGCCAGTGCTAGTAAGAAACAATCCTTTATTTCTATGCCACTAACATATTAAACAATATACATATAATTGTGTTGTTAAGGGTTTAAAATAGGGTAGACAGGAAATCATGCCAACAAGTCCTGCGCTGTTGTCTAACATTGTGCAATAACTTATTTGACTGGATAGCGCACGCAAAAACTATCAATTGTTTATGTATTGACACTGAGTCACTGATATGAAGTTTAAAACTCAGTATGAAATAATGCCTAGAATTAGCTGTTGTATTTAAATAACAACACCTTAAAACATGTGAACAGCTCATTTTTAATATACTCACTCATACCATGTTCATTTAAAATTATGTTATTAAACTGTCAAACACCGCGAGGACACCGGTGACCGCAACCTATTGTTCTTTAATTGTGTCTATAATGACGGTAGTCAACGAGTTAATCTGTAAAAATTATGTAATGTCAAGTGTAGATATGCCTTTTCTCTTTTTTACGTAGGGTGGCCGCTATGCTAGTAACTAATCCCTATACATGAAAATTACACTGCTTAGGAGGGAAATGGGAAGAAATAATGGTTTTGGACATAATTAACATGTTTAGTTATCTTGTGGTTAACTTGCACTATTTGTGTATAGGTATGTACTTATCAATAGTTATCATTTAACCACACAAGGCACGGCATGTTACGAGTTTTTTTTTTAATTCTTAACAGACTTCTAATAAGAAAGAGGTTTTTTATGTTCTTTATTTGCTTCAAGCACAAAAACTTTTTGTATTTTTGTAGGATTGATATAATTTTTATATTGGTCAATGGAATGGGTAATTCCAATACTTGTATGCTCAATTTATATGTCTTGAATTTTGAGCATTGGTAGTGAATTATTATTAGATAGATAGATTTTCCATATACCACCCATATGTTTATACTCTATACTTTAATTTTAGGTAATCATGTTATCTCATATCTTAATTGAATTGTATTTTTTTTATGACAAATAAATTCTTAAATCATAAATAATATTTTATGACAACCTACACACTATGTAAAGCTTTTGGTATCTATTTGGGCTCCTTTTTGCAAGAAGACTTGTATATTTCTGTAGCAGTTGATGTTAATGTTGCACCTATAACAATTGCACAACTTAGTAGTATACCTATTTATTTTTTAAATAAAATTGTTATAAAGTTTGTTATATTAACATAATAGAAATTATTAATCCACTTCTTACTCCACAAACACATCTCAAATGTTGTTGGTAGTACTAAAAAAGTTTGGCTATGTTGATGTTTTGTAGAATATGATGTGTGTGTATGTAATCATATTTTTTTTCTAATGTTCAAGGTACCTCAAGTGTACATCAATGGCAAGTGCATAGGAGGCGGCACTGACGTCAAGATCTTGTATGAAACTGGCAAGCTGGAGCCCATGCTCATTGGTTAAATTACATCACAAATATTCAGGAAAAAAAAAAGAATAATTACTTACAAAAATGTAATATTTAAATATTTGTAAAGATTTTTCAAATAGTACAAGTAATAGTAACTTTCATTATTTAATATTTTTTGTTTTAAATATTGTGCTTATATGAATCTTGTAATGCTAAAAACAGTGTCTATGTAGATACTGTTTTTGAATTTCGTCACCATACTTACCATTCAAGATTGTTTTCATTTTTTACTATATTTTTTACAAATAAAACATTAATTCAATTCCTTCAAGGCTTTTATTGTTATTGTATCGTGCCATCTATTCATTAAAACTGTATTCGAATTTTATTGGATCCTTATTCCAAGGGAAACAAAGTAATCAAATAAATAAATAATAGCATAGCGCTAAAACCAAGACAACCATATCTTATATTGCTTTTACAATTATGTAAATAACATTTAAGTCTGTGAGCTTGGTCGTTATGACAAGCGGCGGGGCTACGATCGGGCCGAATTAATTTTAGAGATTCCTCCATAAATCCTTCAGCTAAAGTCACTTGTCCCTCCCTAACTTTATTACGCACACGGGATGAAAACATCAGGCCTACTCAAGGCCACTACGCGCAGCGTCGGAGGGGACGACCGGCCGCTGAGCCGGGCTCCGTCGTACGTACCAATATTATATCTCCTATGTCATTGATAAAAGCGTCGTTTTTGCGTAACGCGATAGAGTATTGTGACAATTAAGGCGAAGTGTGTGCGAATGAGAGGGAAAAGGCCCACGCTCACCCTTGCGACCCCAGTTGCCGCCGCCCTACAGAGTGCTTCGCGCAGCCGCCGCTAGTCGGCGCTGCGAGCCCGCCCTAGCACAACATGATATTATTATATCTTATTTAGCTAAGATTCATGTAAACAAACTGGATTGTGCTGTGTTTGGTGTTTATAATATATGTTATAAATTGTCCATAATACTAGTTTGTGAGGATTATGTGATTCTTGAACAGTAGGACGGAGAAATCTTAAGGTGAGTTGTATTTATAGACATTTATTTACGTATACCTAGCTATATTCTACCTCCGGGACATCACAAGTCATCGGTGAAGATAAATAAAGGAAATTACTTTCTTTGGTTGTTACAATTTTCTGACATCGTCATCTCAATGTTGCTTATTTTTCTTTTATTTATAGGATCATAAATCATAAAGTTAGGTAGGTACTGAATTTTGAGATACAAATGTGAATGCAATTAGGTTTTAGGTTCAATGTCCTAACAATTTGTAGGCAACGTACCTAGGTAAATAATTTAAAACAATTGTTTATCTTGGATATATCTACCTATATGCTGCTCAATGTAGGTGCTTAAACAACAAACCTAGTTGTAGTTTTGATTCTTATTAAACTGCTCGTTCATACCAATAACATTTTCTGGCTCATGATAGCATAATATAAGTCGTCGTTTGTTTAGTCGACTCATTCGAACGTTTTATCACGTCGATAACGATAAGTATTCGAAAGTTCCTACCTATAAAGTTTACATAATTATTTTTGTATACCTAACTACGGCAAAGTACTAGACCACAACAATACTTAACAATTGTAAATAACGTAGGTACTGAACAATATGTTACATACATACACACACATATTCACACATGGACAATACAATACCTAATACTTGAATCTCCACGTGTTCTGGGCTCGCATGATAGATTGCGGTCCATTGCAATACAACCATGAACACACCGGAACACTGAAGTCCGGCGCGTCCCAAGGACATGAGTACCTAACTGTCTTGGTTCCCGCAACGAAGTGAATCAGAAGATATTATAAGAGGAGAAGAAGAAAAAACTATATTTTCCACTTCGCTCAGACAAGATACTTGAGTTTAATAAAAATCTGATTCAGATAAGTAGGTATAAGTCTGATAAATACTACAAGAAATAATAACAACTCAATGTAACAACCACTTACCCCCCTCTCCCCATTCTCCCCAATCCATCCCCAACAATCCTCAAATTTCTAATTCCCAAAAGACCGGTAACGCACTGTAACGTCTCTGGTGTTCCAGGTGGATGGGCGACGCCGATTGCTTATCAGGTGATCAGTCTGCTCGTTTACCGATTCATCCCATAAAAAAGAAAAAAAAACTACTTCTAAAACCAACTTTTTTTTGTATCATCGTCAACAACAGCAGTACATGGCCTCTTCTTGAGACGAGTTTTGCCATAATTCCTGCGCTTGAATAATGACTTGGAAATAGCAGAAGTAGGTAGATACTTTCAAAGGCCAATCGCCAGATGGCGACTGGCCTTTTTTTGGCGGTCATCCAATGACTTCCCACCTTGGGTGAGGCGAGAGGGAGTGTCAGACTCTTACTGGCTAAAAACCATCCCGTTCCTCAGGCATCAGGCGTCGGGCATCAGCCCAACTGGCCCCCATTTGAAAATCCATACGGTTGGATGATGACTTGGGGATAATACAACTATCTGCGATAGGCGACCCATAACAATTTTGAATTTTCCTCACATAAATCATAATCAACGACATGATCTATGTTATAGTCTGAAGTCAAAAGATTTACTATTCTAATCTTACGTCATAATATTAATTATTCCATTTATAATTTAAATCTTATTAGCACATACGACCTATCGTCTACACAAACCTATCTAGGTTTTCATTACATAAGATGAATTTGGCTAGTGCTTCCTTTTCTTCTATTTTCGACAGTACCAGCTGCTACCCGCGGCATCGTCCGCGTGGAATTTAGATTCATATTTTACCCCATAGAAAAATTTAATCGGGGTAAAAAGTATCCTATCACCTATGTCAACCCATATACTAGATTTCATCAAAATCCGTTAAATGGTTTCAGTGTGATTGACGGACAAACATCCAAACAAATAAACTTTCACATTTATAATATTAGTGTGATAATGTGATGTTTGCAATAAAAGTGGCTATAATTTATTTTGTTACCACATATCGTACACAGTTTGTTCTGTCATACTTTGTGATCTCAAAAGTTAAAAACTCAATCTATGAATCTAACTTTTAAATTTTATTAGGCAAAGAATACGTACAACACGGTACATAATATTTTTTACGAGTTTTATTATTACAACGTAGCCTGAGGTTATGGTTTCATTACAATTCTAAGACATTAAGTAGATCCCAACGTAATCCTGATCCTTTGATGAAGTTACTTGAACATTGAAATATCTAGAGTAACATTAGATATTTAAGAAAAGTAGTTAAAGATTTTTATAATTTTTATAATAATAATACTAGCTGTTGCTCGCGATTTCGTCCGCGTAGAATACTATTCCTGTTTTACATCATGTGAGCATTTAAACGTGATAAAAGGTATCCTGTCACCTAAGTCAGCCCATACTCTGCCTATATACCACATTTTATCAAAATCCGTTCAGTAGTTTCAGCGTGATTGACAAACAAAGAAACTTTCACATTTGTAATACTAGTGTTATTAAGGTGTACCTACTGAAGATTCTTATAAAATAAAATGAACACGTTTATATTGACAAACATCTACGAGATACGCGAAACAAAACACGTCTGTTTGAGCAAATATTTTCATAATTAAGTTTAACAAAGTAGATGTAATGCTCAAATCGCAAGAGCCTTTATTTCTTTGTGAGGCATTATTACAACGGCCCGTAGGAGTTCGGCTCGAGAATTTCAGTGAACCTGAGTTGAGGGGATGTTTTAGCGGGAAGGGAGACTCGACCGGCTCGAATAAAAGCCGGGCGTCGGACCGGCGCCAGTTCAGAGCGGCTACAGCTCTCGGCTACGGCGTAGCGTCGCGTAGTCCGTGCTACGAAACTTTTTACCCAACTTTCTACGAAGTCATTTTCATATAAGGCTTGAATTTTCGCGGGTGGATCTCGTGTGTAGATTGTTTATGTTTCTGACTCATTAATCGTTAGGTAAGATTCATTTAATATTTATTAAAATAGGTGCTTTTTAAACTTTTATTTTGATTGCACTTCAATATCCTTATACACACACAAAAACAAACATGCATGTTTTCTTTTAAGTAAGTATTCTTCTGCATTGTTAGCTACTTATTTATATATTCAAAAATATAAGTCTTCAAAAACGAAATAGGAGAAGGAATGGAGGTAATTCGAAATGTTCCTAAAATAGATTCTAAATTAATGAGCCGGATTGTAATAACAAGAAAAATTTATAATTTGTTTTGATTGAACAAATATTGTTTCAAATTAATTCATTCGTTCGCAATAAGCGTTAACTTTTTCTGTGTTAGATAATTGAGTGAAGAATAACATTTTTAAAGGCTACTTAATATAAGTTAATGAAAAAGTAAATTTAATATTAAGTAATAATAAAAATGTGAACTCGTTATTAATTTAAGATTTTACAACACTATTCCGGCATTGAAGATAACTTACTTGCAAATTTTAAGGAAGATGATTATAAATATGGATGTACCTGAAAATACGGACAAAAAATAGTGATGGACTTCAAATTTTAGTGTATTTAGTTCTCTTTCGTAATTATTTGCTAACTGTGACACTTTTGTCACACACTGAAACTTTGTTTAATTACAAAAAAAGGACTATAATATCTTATCTCCGATTATTATCTTATCTCCGAACCAATCACCCGAATACTGAAAGGCTAAATTTAAGTTGTACTCAATTATCGTGCCATCTCTCTCATTGTACAAAGAATTTGTAATGACAGAAATATTACTTAAGTGCGACCTAAAATTGAGTAGCGTTTGAGTGTTTGGGCATATATCTGATAATCTCCTTAACTAGATGGATTTATTTTAAGTTGAGCACTTGCTTGTGTAGGTATAGCTTTTACCTTCCTAAATTCGGAAATATTTATCTTTGAAATGATAGTGTTTAATATATTTAATATAATAGCACTGTGTCCCACTGGCTAATCAAGATTTACATAATATTTGTGGTTTATGGTATATCATGACACTCATAAATCGAGAAATTTAAATTATAAAAAAAATACGCTGAATCATAGGTAATTATTTAAAAGTTTAAGGGCCTGTTTTACAATATCTGGATAGCCGCTATCTACAAGATAAATTCGAATTAAGAACATAATTTATATGAAGTATCAGTCACATAAATTTATCAGGTACTTGTATGGAGGTGGTGAAACCGGCACTTAATCAAAGGCAACAAAATATAAAAAAAAATAGAAGGCAGAACGGAAAAAAAGACCAAACCATGAAATAAAAATAAACCAACAGCTTCATTAATTTGTTCTTCGAATGCTCATTTAATTTCTCTTCGCTAAATCCATTCACGACTATTTTAGAATAAAAAAAACCTTTCACAACTACTTACAATAAAAATATAAAACCCGAACGCTTTTCCCCTTTTATCTCAAAAGCTCACGTGTAAACAAAAGCAAGTAAATAAAGTAGACTTCATTATATAATATACTGCTAATTTTCCTTTCCACTCTCCCATTTCCATGTTGTTCAAACGCCAGACAAGAGTACTTATCGTTTTTTTGAGTGAAACGCGCTTGATTTTATAATAAAAGCAGTTTATACGGAGTCGACGTCGAGACGGAGGCTCTCTCCACGAGAGTGGAAAAGTGGAAAAACGAAAAAGCCCCGTCATTTGCCGACATGTCAACAAAGTTGAGTGTGGAGTAGTGGAGGTTTGCACTTATTTGTACTCATTAATGAGGGTATATAAAAGAGATTTTATCCTCAGTACGTTCCTTAGTAAAGGAATCTATAAGGCCATTAAAAATAATTGCTTCTTAAGTACTTTCTGGTACAACACATCAAACCACGGGAATATAATTCAGAGAGATTTAAAATTAATTTACTTATTAATTTTTTTTATGTTTTAACTAAAATCATAACTGTTATTTATCAAGATGTATATAAAGGAAAACAAGCGAAGTGATAATTAATTCACGCAAATAAACCTATAAAAAATATCCACGAGTTTGAAACTTTCGAAGTTTTGATGGAAAATGTATTAATTAAACGGCGCGAATGCGTCGTCGGTGGCTCATCAAAAATGTATAGAATTCGTATGATTTGCATAAAAGTCATTTTATTGCCTCGAAAGACAAACAGAATGGGATATTAGCTGTTGGAATGATTCCAAAATTGCGGTGTGAACTATGCTCTGTAATGAAGGTATCCTTACACCGGTGCAGGTTTTATCTACGTGTTGAACCATGTTCCAATTCAGTCCTCGCTTTTATTTTAATTAAAAGTTACTCTGTGCATATGTAGGAGTCTTCCTCGAATTTGCCTTTATATTATGAACAGTGCTAATTAATTGAAACTAAGATAGAACTTGTTCTAGATGCAAGAAAGTAATAAAGAAAAAGGGTCTTTAAAGTCCACACATTAGGGAGGAGTGCACAGATTCCCCCTTAGGGAGCAAGCGTTAAGAATTTAAATAAGTGTCGGTGAGTTTGGCAAAGAATTCAATGAGTTGGCGTAATTATGTCGAGCAAGTTGGCGCATTCATTAGCCGTGTTGTGTTTAATATTCATCAGGGCGCGGTGTACAAGTAACATTTTTACTTTACGACTGCCTTCCAAATCCGTGGTACCTACGAACGTAAATTACATGGAAATTAGTCTAAGTTCATTTTGAACCGAGCTTCGTTACAAAGACCGGGTAAAGTAACGAAGTTGCTTATTGTAGTAGACGGGCGAACTCGTTGTTTGTGCAACTTGAATATATTTTAAAATTCTTCTTCTTTGTAAACTTATGCGTTTTACGATTCTCCGTAGCTCGCCAGAAAGAATTTGTACTCGGGATGGAACAAAATGATGCCCACTTTCTTAGCAAAGAGTTAACAAAAATGAGGGCAATCTAAACCAACTATAGTTTATAGGATAAAACACAGAGCTGAAGAATAATTGTGATTTCGATATAAAGTTAATTCACAGTATCAGTTATAGAAATGAAATAAACTCCCAGTAGGTATTGTCATTTGACAAAATTCAACTGTTTAATTTTATTCTTTACTTATTCTGAAATCTGTTTTGATTCGATTTTCCTTTGTTTCGGTTCATTAAGCTAAATGTTATAGGCAGTTTCGGCCATTAATGGCTAAAGTTTGTATATAAAATTAAATGCTATAAAAGTTAAACTTTACCATAAAAGAAATGACAGTAAAATGTTTTAATGTCTGTACATATAATATATATATATAAAATAGCTTTGATTTCATATTTATGGGTTTTGTTGACGACTTTTATATAATTTTGTATCGTAATAGTACGATAGATTTTAGGTTCTTATATGCTTAGTGTTCTATTTTCTACATAAAAAGGTAAAAAGAACAAAGGAAGTATGAAATATTTTACATTTTAGGTACCTGCCTACCATTTTAGGTACCTACCTACTACATAAAATAACAAAACTAGGTTCCTACATATAAAAAAGTAAAATATTTTTAGTCAAACTTTATACATGTTTCTATCTAAAACTAACGAATACAAAAATACTACGAATTCATATTTTATTCATAGATCAAAACAGCAGTTATTTTGAGAGCTGTTCGAAATTTTATTACATCGTCGATTTTACAACGAAAAATGTTTGTTGAACGATAGAAATGGAAAATAGTCAAAGCGATTCGAATATGTAATTTAATTTCAAACATTTTTAGATAATACTACATTACTACGTTGTTCTAGTTCGTAGAGAAAATTTCGTAGCCAACAAGACGATCGTAGCATAAGAAGCGTAGCAAGTACTACGCAGCTACGAATACTAATAACAAAAACATGGATCTTTGTTGAAACGTTATAAATTAGCACTGGGTTCAACCGTAAACAAAACAATACAAAATAATGCCTATTACACATTCCGCTGCAATAATTGCATTGTCATTCTCGGTGACGTTGAATGATCATGGCGCGTTTTACATATTAATGAACGCATCTCTGTTTGTTTCAGATGCTGAATCGGACGTTAAAACAGCTTTCCGTAGAGTTATCATAGCAGTGCAGCACACATTATTATCTCCTATAATAGTACAAAGCTATCGAACTTAATCGCTTAAGGTCCCTCTAGTTTATTTTTGTAACGCTTTAAGTAGGAACCGAGAGGAAAGGATTTTGTAAATCGTTGCTATTTTCTATAACGTACACCGTTCTAGATAGTTCTATCGCCGGCGTCCGTAGTTTTATAGGGGAAACAATGCCAGAGGTTCTCATAAAGCATCGATATCTTGGAGGTTGTGATTTTTCGTGGGTTGTGTAATGGTAGGGTGGTAGTGGGTAGTGGTAATGTGTGAAGATAAGGAAGAGGTTCGGAGTGAGGCGGGCGCCGCGGCCAGCCCACGCCGGCTGTGCTGGTCGCGCCGGCCTCCACCGCCCCTGCCCGACACCCGCGGCCTCTGCTGCGCCAAGCTGCTCCGCAAGAACGGCAAGCCCAAGAAGGTGAGTACTCTTATCATACATACATTATTCAGCAGCCAACGATAACCCGACGCAACGAATGTTCTGAGATAAAGTTAAACTATAGGAATAAATGTGTGAAGATCCATACATACTGTTCACAAAGCTTCTATAACAATAATTTAATAGTTCGTCCGTCCCTTAAAAGCTCTTTGATATCGTTTCACGTCGAAGACATTACGTACAAACATTTCATAGTTATCGAACTCCAACTATAAGGAAAACAGAATGGGTTTCGTGGAACATAATTAGCTCGGTCGATTTATAAGGACGTGGGGCAATCTTGTTATTTAAATGATACACCCGACCAACCGACCCAAAGGTATTCTCCATATTTCAAGGTAGAGCGCGCTTAAGCTCCAATATAATCGAAGTTTAAACTAAGTTTCAGTTATGGTGGTTGACTCGTATCGCACTTACGAAACATCTTTGATTATACGTTGGTACATCGCACACTTATTTCAAAGTTCGAGGCTCAAGTTAATATTATGTATATTGCGTTAAGATCATAACTAGTATAGTAAATAACTTGTCCGCGAGTGCTAACTTTGGATCAAATTAGTTTCCGCTGACGTGGAGCGTCTCCCGACTTTGATTAACCCCCTCGAGGGAAACAAATGCACAACGATTTATGTATGTTCCACGAATATAATAAAACACTCATTAAAGTACGTGCGAAGTTTTAATAGAGTAGCAGTGTACCTAATTGTAATCTACTGCGTCTACACCGATGTAGTCTTGCAGGAATTTGAATTGCAAATTATTTGAAAAGTTATATACAAATAATTTTATTAAAATGTTTTACATTATAAAACATTGCCTACTGGAATATGTTTTATTGTAATATACACAAAAGCGTAATAAATAAGTACACTTCCAATATTTATTTGCTACATCATAAACGATAAATACTGGTCTATATCATTGAATATTTAATACCACAATACTCAAAAATAAAATGTATTTCTTAGAATCAAACAGCATCGGGGAGCGGTTGCAGTCACTATTTTGCAATTCTAAGTTTGGCAAAGAGGTTTCAATCTGACTAATGTGTCTACATATAGCTACCTGCGAGGAAAGCTCTCGGCGCTTATATCGACGTTTCAATCGAGAGGGAACTACTTACTCACTGCATACAAAACAGAGGAAAAATATTATTCTGAAGTATGTAATAGAATAATTCCTCCATTCCTCGCTACTTTTGTCGTAAAGAATATTTTTAATTAGGGAGCGGAAGGTCGTCGTCATAAAATGATAAAAACGGAAAATTAGCAATCTTCATAATGACGAAATATCTCGTAGGAAGTCTCGACGAAACTGTCACCCTAATTTTCTGTAAAGTAAATTAATTTGCGCACGGTTAATTAAGCTTTGCATAATAATTACAAAGAAAAACTGATTTCTCTTTGAAAAATGCCGAGTTTACTAATTTGTAATTAAAAGTGTTTAAAATCCCTTTGTTGACATTAAATGCTGATGAATCAAGAAAAAAATACTTCAAAGCAAAAGTTTCGTAAATTGGAATTGGATGGTATATTTTTTAAGACTTTTTATAAAATGCGGCCATTTCATAAATCGTAAAAATGGAGCTCCGCATGGCCGGGGAACTAAGTTGTGCGAATACACGTGAATGCGAAGTGAACTGACGCCTTTAGTTATTACAAAACATAAATCTTAAAGTAAATGTCATGCTTTTTAATTTCTACTTTCTCGATACATACACATAGTGTTTTAACTATAAAAACTAGTTTTGATGCAACCGCCAAGGCGTCTCAAAGAAGGCGTTCTTAAAGAAGTTGATAGCTCCTTAACACATTTTCCTCTTCCCTTCGCGTCCTGAGGACCCATATCAAAAACTGACCCTGCCGTAACAACACAACATCCCATTTTTGTGTTAAAACTTCCGTAAAACATATATTAACGATACTGCTCCTAAACCTCGTATATGTTATGTAATTCTATGACAAACTACGCAAAGTAACTATACCCTTTTCTCGATTTACATACTTTTTACTCAGTGAAGATTTGAATATAAATAAAAGAGTATCTTTTCAAAAAGATTCGATTCCTGTATAAGTAAGTTCGCATTAACATAATCCATAGATTAGTATAGAAGCTACCCTCGTCTATGGACAGGCATAGTGTAGGAGGTTTTGTTACAACTTTAAGTAATAAGTTAGCTGGGTATTCAAAACTAATTTATTTTCCTGTCCAAGTTTTTATAGCTTGAGAAATTCGATGAAGGATGTGCGGTACTTTTTTACTTAACATTTTAGTCTATTCTATACAATTTAAGTGGAACTTGGTAACTTTCTTTTCTATAATATTTCAATTTAAATTTAATAGACGGTCGATTCTATAATAATATCTTAAGTATGCAATGAACTTCGATTTAAAGTATGTATATTGACTGTGTAGTTGAGAATCGTCTTTTGTTTTGTTTAATTCGTTATTTAACTTGTTGAGTACCGTCATTATACACACAATTAAAGACCGGTGACCGCAACCTATTGTAGGTTGCGGTCACCGGTGACCGCTAGGTGTTTGACAGTTTAAGCACGTGATAAAGGCATTTTTAGAATAAATTTCTGATCGACATTTGTCAAGTATATCGAAATCCATATTGGAAACTCTCACACGATTATATCCAATTAGTAGCGTCACGCTGGGGGCCTACCCCAGCATGAACTATGGCCATACAACTCCTCACAAAGCGAATGAATGGCATGCCAATATCCAGCATTCATTATTGTGAATGATGCGTTAAATATCTCTCTATTTACGCCAAGCATTATGAAGCATTGCTTATAAATATTTCATAGAAAAAATAAATAAATAGATTCCTATGTCCGACCCTGTAAATAGGGGTACAATAGGATAGATGACTATTTTTTATTTTATTGTCCGTCGCGTAGATTATTTAAAAACATTAGACACGTATATTTTATTTTCTTACGAAAACAAATACTTTCGACTATACATATATTGGTTTGAAATATCGCGTGACATCGCTTTTGTTTACGTTTTATACTCAAAAATTACGTAGTTAGCTCCCACTCCTAACGCCTACTTTCATTCGTTTTATCTAAGTATTGTTTTGTTATACGACAAAAAAAAATACGTGTCTAATATTTTCCATTACCTAATTAGTTTTTTTAATTTTTGTGCCCTGTCATCACCCCTATTGAAGTAATAAACTTGTATAAATAAAAGCGCTGTTCCTATAGTATTGGTAAAGAACATAAATAATGCGAGATTTATATTAGTCCTAGCCTTTGTAAGTGTGGTGGAGTTCAGCCCGTAACTCGCCCTTATTGCTACAAAAAAGAAAGTCTTAGTCACAAATCCTAACTATATTTTACTCGTAGTTGTCATCAGTTGCTCTAACAAATACTGAATCTTATATCTTATAAGAAAATATAGATAAATACGCGAAGTTAGTACGAATTCTGTGAAATCAGACCAAGTTAATATGAATATCTAAACAGTAGCTTGTTACCGTCCCACAGGTGACTTGGAGCCAATAAATCGTGTCTGAAACAGGGGCGTGAAGAGCAATAATTCACGGTCCTGAGCACCATTTAAAGATTCTTACACTGTTTAGCCATCCGATGAACCACGGCTAATTCTCTTTTATTTCTTACCAAGAGATTGTAGCAGTTTTCTAATATAAGAAAAATACTACAGCAAACCATTCGATACGGTTTTTATTTGACATCTCGACGTAAAGTAAGAGAAAGAATCCAATTCTTGTTTCCATTATTACTGGTATCGAGTGCAACATTTTACGAACTCGCTTCTTGTTATTTCGAATCGAGTAAATTGATTGATGAATCTTGTTTGACGTAGCGTTACGATACACGCCCTATCCGTTTAGGGGTTTATAAATGATGGATGTAAACCAGCCGATATGTGAAGGTTAGGTAGTTGCTGACTAGGTACAAGACTTATCTACTTACGTATTATAATAATGTAGCAAGTCCCATATGATAGTGCTTAGTTTTGTTATGAGCTTCATTGGTCTTCGATCACTTCAAGTTACTTTTAACTCAAGTTAAATAAAATTGGACCTGAGCCCTCATCTTAAGTACCAGGCTGGTTACAAACAACTTTTGTTCGTCTAAAGTTCGGACTGCCGGACATTTTAAAATGCATCTCTTGTTGAACTCTAATGCAAGTTCTAGCATGGAACTTATCCCTTGCTAACTACTTGCGAACACTACTTTCTAAACCAATCCGCAGCCGGCAGCTGCTCACACTTTTTACGTCTAACATCACTTTAGCTCGAGATATTGAATAAGAAAATTTATTACGAAAAGGTCTTACGAGTTTAAATTTAAAGTTGAACTGCAAATACCTGGGAAGAATTAATTGGAATTTTCTACAGCGCTTCGTTGAAGTAGTGAGGTGCGGCTTTTGTACTGCATTCAAGATGTTTTATTTAATTAAAAGAGCCCTATTTTACAGAAAATGTTTTATAAGAAATTGTTTCATATACTAAATATATCTTACACAATTCTCTGACTTACTCATCAAAGTTTTACGTACAAACTTAAATACTAAGCATACAACCTGTCAAAACAGCTTAAAGTACGCCTTCAATCATTAACTAAGATGAGCAAACACCTAACAAAGATTTCTCACTAAACGAGCTCACTTTTAGAATTAACTACGAACATTCTAAGTTGGAAACTTGTTCAATATCGTTGAGGTGAAGTAAGAAGATTTTAAAGAGCGCGCAATAAGGCTCCGTGTTCACTGTACAGTCGACGACGTGCGATTTAATATGGCCTGCCGCTACATTCCCCGGAGACACGAGACCCGCGACGATTCCAACACTATTATACTATGTACGAGTATATATTTAGCTGGAGGAAAGTTCATTACTCAGAGAAGCGTCATTTTTACTCTGACTTCTCATAAGACATTTTGATTTAAAATAGGGAGCTATCTGACTTTAAGTGTTGGGTTTTAGAAATATT